AATCTCTTCACGGATTCAGAAAGCTGAATTGGCTTTTGCCAACTTTCTTCATTTGTGGCGTATGTACGATATCCGTCTCACAATCAAAGGATGAGTTCACTACACAGCAGTTCACTCCATTCTACTTTGTGAGTGTGAAACATGATTATTAAGAATAGACAATATTTGTAAATCACTAGTATGCGGTCATAATTATATTCAAAGCATTGCTCGTGTATTTTGGGACCACCTAGTATGTAATGTGGAGGTCATGAATAGAGTAATAAGTGAAGATGACAATTTGGTTGATAAGGTAGTAAATCTTCAACTGAGCTGGTTGGAAAAAGTGTTACGCATGGCCAACCACCACCTCCGTGAACAGGCGATGTTTTCTGGCGTTGGAGTAGGCTGAATGAAAGCTAGGGGCGGTCAAACAAGTACATAGTATCAGCCCATGAAGATAATGAGAATTGGACTAGGCCATGTTAATAAGTGTAGACTACCTGGGTTCTGCGTGATTGTCTCAACTAGCGGTTATAGAATATGGGTGACATGAGTTAAAATCGTTACCAATGGCACAGATTCATCCATTCCTTATCTCCCCCTGAATTCTGAGATTACGGGTCTCGCAGAGTTTCTGTTATCCAAACTTATATTTTCTCGAATAATATCGTTGATGCCTGATTTTTTTAACCGTTACTCATCCTCTTACTATCTCTACTATTCTAGGATTTGGCATGACGATTTCATCTCTCTGTACTAATAGGGTGTGGCCACTTGAACCGATGTACATATGTACCAGGTTCTACGTTGTGGCTGAATGACTAAGAGCATGGAGTCGAAGCATATACTCCAGAAGTAACAGTTTCCCATTGAGTCTCTCAAAGTTTGCACTTGTTAGGAATAATTAGGTGCCTGAGCAAAATCTCAAGAGGTGGCTATTGTTATCTGCTTATCGGACTAGCACGCTTTAAGACCTACCTGCATTTTTCCGATTGACTTAACCTGTCGAGTTGGTTGCTAAAATCGCCTGCTAAGGTTACTACGGCTGGGCATCCGGCTTCCTGAGAGAGATCATGAAGTTTCCTGTAAACTCACTTTCCACTCCATTCTAAGTGCAATCAGTGGGGGCATAGGGATAAAGAGTGAAGATGCAATGACTTGTCATTATCTCTTCAACTTCTAATTCTGCCATTGAGACGGACAACACACAAGGGGCAGTCGACAGGAATCCAGTCAAGTACCTGTTTTATTTTGAGACTTAATGTTATAACCATATTTCTGAAACCATGAGAATCTTCTTTCGCGTCTCCAAATATGTCACACTGGCTGTACATGCTGGTTAGGAGAGATAAAGTGAATAGCTGTGCTGAAATTCTGTGTGTATATTCCCAAGACATCATACACCGATGGCATATGATTGCAATATCTTAGCTTGTGATGCCTGTTTGACTAAGCAAAGGGGTCGAACGTTGAAACCCCCAACATGTAGCTTGAAGCGCATTTTTAATAGACCTAGACCGGTATTTTGTGAAGTTGAGTTATTATCACTGGTGGTACATAGAAAAGTTATGACGTTTTCTGTTGGAAGCATGATGGCGGTTGTCGCTCCTAGGTCTTCCACACCACGTAAGGGTAGTTCTTGAGGTATCTAAAGAGATAGCTGTTGTATTAGTGACCCGTAATCGTGATAGCACAATCCAAGATAAAACTGGTTGAGACCAGTCATCGGGCTTTTTTCGAGTGGTTTTAGATAAGTTGGCTCCGCGATTCCGAGGCTTTTAACACTGCAGACTGAAATCCATGGGGCACTGTGATGTATTCTGTTTTTAGGGTCGACCTTTCTTAGACCACTCTTTGCGTTATAGGAAAGCAATACAGCCTAGCATACTGGTTGTCCAAGAGGAACATCTTACTGCCGTCATATTCAAATACAGTACCCAGTAATTCTTCCTCAGGCTCTATGTTACTGCTTTTAGTTTTACCGTTCTCCAACCGACGTATCTTGCTTAGTAGTCTGAGATAACGAGTGCCTAATCAATGTACGTCGACTGGGTCATCACAATATGAAGGACCGACCACTATGTTACGATAGCAGGTACGGTGAAGATTATGTGTAAACCGATGAATACTCCGAGCAATTTCATTCAGATCCTGTTGTATTCATTAGAACAACACTTGAACCTTTATCTGACCGTAATATCATTATATCATCATTTCGCCTAACATTTCGTAATGCTGTTAGGTGGTCTTTGGATAAAATTTAGATAATAAAGGGAACTATGTGTATGAAGTAGTGGAATTAAACGAGTAGGAAAGCTTGTTTCTAGTTATAATTTTATCTTAGAGGATGACGCAAATAATCATAACTTTGTGATAGTCTAGTAGTACATTCGATTAAAAAATGGAGTAAGGACATCTGTACTTAATTTGTTTTAAGTAAGAAAGAAAACAACAGAAATTATAACTGAAGCCTTTTAATGAGGCCTAGTTACTGTAAAGTAATACCAATGTTAATTTCAATGTAATATTCAAGTAAAAAATCAGATGATTTGATTAAGAATAAGATTTTGAATTCAATACTCATTTGTTTGATGTAATTACGAAGCAGAAAAACTGGGACCAATCTTAGTAAGTGTAGAGACTAATTTCTATATCTGACTCCAATAAATAGTATCCCATTAACTGAGTATTTAACGCAGGCTAAACCTCCTAGTAGTATTATGAATTTGCTCGATATTTTTCAAAAGCCCGAACACCAGTTGTAGAGATAGTTTATTGTTAAAGATTAGTAAAAATCCTCAAGCGCGAAGATATCAAGCACACAGGGGAACGAGAATATGTGTGGTTGTTAAAAATCTATATATATTTATGAGTGTTAATCGATTGTGGATAAATTACTGACTGTATGTGTTTACAACCAGTGGGAGAATACATAAAGATAGGTGTACAGACATTCGATCAATCAAACTCACATAATTTTACATAGCGGATTAAATATCTTATAGCAACTCACATTCAATTGAGTTTGCTCTCACCTAATTCTGTTAAGCCCTTTTATTAGCTTATTAAACGGACAAAGTCACCTGCACTATAATAGCTTATTGTATCCTTATTACTGTTGCGAATGTATGTACCTTTATTATTGTTATCCTTGTATGAATATGTATGCTCGGCAAGCCTTACTGCCTACGCATTTATTCACGCTACTAGCTTTACTATTAACCGCTTAATTGACTCGATGATTCATTAATTTCACTATGTATATATATGTCCATGTTATTCATATTCATTACTCGCTCGCTTGCCTGTTTGCCTTTCGGTACAACTATTTAATGCTTGCTTAACGCATCTGTAATTTTGGATATCTGTGTGTGGTCCCTTAATAAACGTAATTAACGCTTCGTATTCGCCTTCTGATTAATATACCGTTGGAGCATTATTTGGTGACGGTTACCGAGACGAACTGTATACGGAGTTTAAGGAATATATCGAACACCGACCACCACAATCTAAATTATAGCGAGTAGACAAATAATACAATAGTTCGATCGGCTTACTACACAAGTGTTCGCCACTAACCACCATTGTTTCGTAGTGTGAAAAGAAATCCTGGTTATCATTGGGAGTGAACTATTACAGTAATTTCATTTTAGTATCCAGGTGACGAAATACTGTTTATTTGAAGTATCCAGTGAAAGGAAAACTTGATTTCCGACAGAAATAACCCAATGCAGCTCCACAACCACATCAGGAATGCTGTGAGCTAGTTTCTGTGTGGAATTAGGCAGTACTATCTGCCTAATAAAGCATAAATGGGTAGTTATTTGGACTCATGGCTCTTCGTCATTCGAGACAAAAGTGTATCATCCTAAATAATACATGGGAGTCATAACTTTGATGTAAGTCCTGGTGACTATATGTCAAAAAAAAATGCAGGTTTCCTGGTTATGATGTGAAGTTATATGCTGCAAATTTTTAAACAAAAGTTGTCGTGCATATGTTGGTCAATGGAAGTATACGAACTCGTCTCGGTTTTGAAATTCACACCAATAAAGCGTTACAAACTTAATGACAACCAGTGTGGATAGGATCGTCCGAGGTACATACAACTAGCGAAGGTTCAACTTTTTTAATAATCATAATAAACATTTCTCCTGTTTTCATAAGTTGGATTACATTTGTTGTTGCTTCATTTTCCATTGAATCCTCAACTCTAATTAATACCTTCAGTTAATCGTCTTTGTTGATTGATTCACCGAGGTCTTAAAGTTTAATCACTTTGCGACTAACGTTTACAGATTATTTAGATGGCTACTTTGTGGAGATAATTATGACTTCAATAAGGACTGATACCGGTTGACTGAATCAGCTGTCTATCACTCTATGGCTTCCAGCCGTTCTCCAACCCGCAATGAGAACTTTAAATCAAACCATCTCCAAGCGCTACATATTCGTCTAGTCACACTAAAAACATGCGATTTTTCTCAAAATTTGTTTTCAGAGACAAAAGTATTCAACATGACTGAAGTCATATAAATATTCCTTACGTGATCAACCTTTGACTTGAGATACATCAAATATATTTATAGTAAGGTAAACATGCGTTTATACGTAAATAAATCTGACAAGTTGAGAAGTATAAAAAGCTCGCTTCATAACAAAAAAGATAAAACACATGATTTACAAGCATTGAAATATGAATTGGTCGAGAACAAAACATGAATGAGCATCATGCCCCAAAATAGATTGGGGAATTCGCCCACTATCAATATGTATTCCTCCAGAACACATACAATTATCTCTTTATTTTCGAACCCTTCCATGTAGGAACACTGGAATTTACATCAAAGAAAAATAAAGTACATTATCTACACAAATCAAACGGAATAAATCACTGTATATATATATATATATATATATATATATATATATATATATATATATGCTCGTATTATTAACATCTTGTTTATATATGTAAGCTCAACGTAAGCAAATGTGTGGAAAATAAATACAAACTCAAAAAGCATATATATTTATGTAATAAGGAATTGAGTAGCATGAAAGACAATTAATAATTGGATAAGAAAATATGAAATGAAAAGCATACACTTATTGGTATCAGGGATGATTTTAGTGGTAGTTTAAATTTGGCACATACATTGTTGGTAGAAATAATAAGTAAGACTTTTAATTAATTTTCGGAAGGTATAGATATTATGTTCACTGAGATATAAGGGCGCAAACAACACAATAAACCAAAGCAGAAAATGGAAGTAAACACTTTGTAGTCCAAATATATGAAAAACTTTATATATCTGTATTTAACTCATCATTATACGACGTAAATTATTTTGCAATACTGTATCTTGCATAGCATTGAATACTGTTTCGATATTCCGCCTATCTACAGCAGTTGTGAAATGACGATAGACCATACGTTTTCGTACAGGGGCTGTTAATGTTACGTTAGTGGACATAGGTACAGAGTTTTGTCTATGAAGAGATGAACATTTAGCAGTATTATTGAATGATGAATGTGAAAGACTTGAACGAGCTTGAGTATCTGGTGGAAAATTGTGATTGACTAGGGAGGCAAATACTTCAACCATAAATGTTTGAACATCTTGCAGACGAAATGGATCCATTTTCACAGGGTAATTGGGAAACTCATCACGAATATTTGATGTACGTGAGTTCAACTTTTCTTTAAGTATATCGGTTTTGTTAAAAAATATAATTATGGAAACACGTCTAAAAGCAATGTGATTGATAAGTCCTTCAAAAACAACCATAGCCTCATGTAATTTATTTCGAAATTCTTTAGTTAATCGATCTTGATAATGTTCATCGTAATGACTGGAAGCAATAAGGAACAAGACAGATGTCATATCAGCAAAACATTGACACCATTTACGACGTTCTTTTGTTTGTCCACCAACGTCAATAAAAACCAGTGATGATGAGTGAACATTTATTTCTTCTTCAATTATAGATTCTGTTGGTTTACGTGACCAAACTATATCTTCATCAGTTGGACGATAATTCTAAAAAATCAAGAAAAATTCCCATTGAACTACTTAAAATTGTGTTTAATTCGGTTATTTATTTATTCTATAGAGAAGCGAATTACACTAAGTTGTGAAACATTCGAAAAAATATTTTTAACTCACTGCACAAATTGGATGTTAAAAATCTAAAGTAGAAGTCAACCACGTAGTGCTAAGTATCTTTTAGAAATACTTTTACTACACTTAGATGTTGGAAACCGAAAGCAACTGAAAAGCTTTCAAGGGGGATTACGCTTACAAGAGATAAGTAGACTAGGAAATATAAAATGTGATACGACAGTTCATCGATTCAAGACGCCTTACTTCTTAACAGTGCAAAATGATAAACATTTTAGACAGAAAACATCAGAATGATCTAGAGGGAGACTAACTGAAGAATGATAGAAAGTGTATAATTCTTATTCAATGTTGTACACTAAATTCATGTGATTTAAGATTTTCACAGAAGATTTGAATATATTCGGTGAAATTTAACGAACAAAACTACTAAAATAAATAAGGTCAAAATTTGATAAATTCATACAGAAATAAAAATGAATAAACTAATTTACCGGGTATTTGGATCCATACTCGAAATGTGAGGGCTAATGCTATTACACGGCTGACCAAGCCGAAATAGATGGAATGGGGTTAGAATCTAAAACTTAGTGACCGAAAATTGAAAGCCTTAACCATTAAGCCAACGCTCCATGTTTCACAGATTACGAACATGTAATTACACGATGAAAAAATATACTAAAGAGTTAATACACTGACAAGGCTTACTGACAACTTTATGATGTCTTTAAATGTGATTTAAAGTATGTGTTTCTTTTTCTGATGGCTAATTTACATTAGAAAATGTAAACATTACGCACATGTAATTTTAAGAAATATATATTTAAGGAAGGAAAAAGGTAAAGAAAAGAATGTAACTGTATGTTTAACAAAATGAGAGAGCCTAAAATGAAAAAGACTACGTTACTTGTTATTTTGGAAAAGAATTATTCACAATAACTCGGTAATCAGTTCAGAATTGTGATTTTAAACAAAAAATGTACAAGATTATTCATGTCTAATGAGAAGTCGTCATTAGTTATATAGACATTCGGTCGATTGCGTCATTTGATTTATTTGTGAATACTGTTTCTTTCAGGTGTCTATTATTATTTACTTAATTACTCCCGTTACTCACCGTGAAGTAGCATGGGCCGCTCATCAAAATTCTCCATCCAACCCTGTCCTGAACAATCCTTTCGAGCTCTTTCCAGTTGTTATTCATCCTTTTCATATCTGATTCTATTTCCCGACGTAATGTGTTCTTTGGCCTTCCTCTTTTCCGCTTCCCTTCAGCATTCCAAGTTAGGGCTTGCCTCGTGATGCAGTTTGATGATTTGCGTAATGTATGTCCTATCCATTTCCATAGTCTTTTCCTATGGTGTCTATTATATTAACTAATAAATCTTGTTAAATATACCAAATTACGTGTTACATTTAACCATTTTCAAGTGAAAAATTAATAATTGGTTATGAAGTGAAAAAGAAATTCATTTCTTATTTAATTGTTCACTCATTCTATAAACAAAAATGTTACTTTATACAATGTACTGTCATATACATTTTCGTTTACATTCTTAGATATATGCATATAACTTTCTTTGTTAAAAATCTTTATCATCAGCATAAAATAACATCTAATCATAACGGTGTATACAACAATATATTTGTTCTATTTGGTTATCTAAAAAAACACTACAAAAATATATCATTATACACGCAGATTTTAATTATAATTTCGTATTTACGAATTGATGTATTCATCTTAAATCATAATTTCTATAGTGATTTTTTTTACTGTGACTGATACTAGTAGCACTGTCCCTTTGACATTCTTCTTGATACGGTATGTGTTAGCGGGACATAGATTGGATTAAAGCATGCTCGATTGCGTTGGTGCACGCTGATTGGCTAATTCTTATCCAGTCCGCGCTAGTCGATACTTGGAGGACACTCTAGAATCTTCTTATGTAAAAAACTATGAATATACTAACGTTTTTCCTACTGTGCTGCTTACTTCCATCTAACTTTGTTATTTGGAATATAATCTCTTTCCTGTTCAACCGTGTTCCGATTTGGGGACTTGTCAAGTGAAATGGTGTCCGAGAATACTAAGCAATAGGAATAGCTGGGTTGTAATAATATTGAGAATTATAACAGTGTGAAAACTTGAACTAATGCACACATATCCCAGGTTCTACGTTGTTGACGACTGACTAAATACAATTAGTTTTATCTTGAAGAAGTTTAAATCCTAATGACATACATCATCAACCGGTTTTTAATAAGATATGAAGCCATTGTACTATGAGCCTTTTGAAAAGTTTTGTATAGGCAATTAATAGGATTTTCCTTGTAAGATAAGTTATTTGAATGCAAATGTTAGTAGTAATTTAATTTTATAAGTCATACTTCAACCAATTTATCAACAAGAAGAAAGCAAGTGCAAAGATTCAAGCAGAATAACATAATTTTATCTTATTTCATTAGGTTCTTGTCAGCTTCTTACAAACGGTATTATTTAATGGTTAAAATTATACATTGAGTTAAAAGTATATAAATGAATTTTGTTTGGATTTGTTACCTTCATACATTAGCATAGTATGGGAAAGATGTAAATAAATTTAAGAAACCAAATAAAAATAGCCTATAAACATACAATATGTAAAAGAATAATTTCATAACAACGGTAGTAAAAAGAGAAACTGAAGAGTTAGAAGAAATGGTTAAGTGATAAGCACATTCCAATCATAAGTAAAAATAAAGTAAATAACACTCGGTTAGTTGAAAATCAAAGTAATTGAACTGGAAACAAGCCAAAAAAGGTAATGTAACAACCAACTAATTTAAAGATTTGAAAAGAACTAAATGATGTAACCAACTAAAGTTTATGGTACAAAAACAGAAAATGTTTGACTACAGTTCCCTTTTGAAAACATAAATCACATGGCAATTTTTGCAGCAAACTTCAAAAGGGCAGAGTAAAAAACCAATTTAGAATTACGTGATAAAAACACAGAAATGTTAGTAATCCTAGAAATATTCTAATGTTTCATTTCCTTTTTTTCTTTAACTTGAATATGTTATTCATTTATACTTTCAAAGAACGTATCTTAAATGCTAAATCAGGCATATAATGATGGAAAAAATTTTGACTATTTATTCTTCTACTAATCACATTACAGGTATGGTGTCAAGATATCAAGAGAGAGATGAATATATATGTTGTACGTAACATGAAGTCATCTAAATTGTTGTAATGAAATGATAAATTTTTTATCTTGATAAAAAGTGTTTTGTTCGCTATTGTAGTGTTAAGATGAGGGGTAGAAGAGAAAGAACAATCCTATAGTTATCTAGTGTGAGTGAGATAATAAACATTTCGTAAGTTAATATCAGATGGGTTTTGTGGATATTATAGTAATTTCAACGGTTAAGATCATGAAGCAGTTGAAGCTAGATCACCAAGGAAAACCTGGAAGCACTGGACGAAAAAGAAACATGATACCTTTTGTTCACATATGAAAAATCTAATATGTATCTTACGTAAATCGTAATATTAATTTTGTGTAATGTTATGACTATCGAAGATACCACGAAACAGAGCATGAAACAAATACAATTAAGATTTATTATTCTCTACTCATTATAAATCAAAGGGAATTGATTAAGTAATGAGTTTAGGTAAATAATAAAAAGCTTATTACAGATTATTGTGTTACACAGTTAAATTAATTAGTATAATTTCTTGATTACCCTGATCAAAAGACCCATTCACATGTAACGTAATAATCACCAACTCAACTGTTTTAGCACATAAAAACTATGGTTTCATAGAATAAGTGTGAAATGTATTTTTTTCTGTGAAGATGATAATTAAAAGAAATTTAAAAAGTTTATCCTTCCGGTTTCAGGTTTAACATATCATTGTATGAATTGATATTCAATATTAACATTTCATATTTGATAAAAACTAATTACTCCTAGCCGAAGAGTGAAAAACATCCCGGCAAAAGCGAGCGATTAAATAAGTTCAGTTTTCTGAACTTTTTTTAGTTTAAATAATGTAAGAGGTTTACCGTGTTATTATTAGTTTGAATTTCTTAAGAAAAGTAAACCGTAATAGATGTTGAGATGATTGTTCGAAAAGTTCAGCAGTGAAATTGTAACATATTATCAATGAAAGTGTTTCCCCTAAAATCTTAGAAATAAAGTCTATGAAAAAATAGTCCCCATGAATTTAAAATAAAATAAAATTTATATCTGGAAAGAGTTTATTCATATAGTTTAAATTTGATAGTAAAATGGAATTTAATTAATTGAAAGATGAGCTAAATTTCGAATAAACTAAAAATATGATATTTTTTTTCTCATTTAAGAAAACATATAGGGAAATCCACTTGGCATTACATGTTTAGAGTAGTTCTTCATATCGAATTCGTTTTGTAACAGTTAAAATCTTTGATGATGAGTCATTGCATACATCAATGGAGGGGTTTTCACAATATACAACATATAACGGTGAAAGGGATCTAAATATGTATTTTTATAAAGCAGACAGAAATCCATATGGGGATTTCTTATTTGAAAACAATATATTTTCAGTAACATCGTTGTGTTTGGTAGATGTTATTAGTTAAGATAAAAAATGCATATATATGTTTATTTAGAAAACAGAACTCAGTAACTATATTTTAACCTTGAGATACACGAATGTTTATGGGAAATACTTCGAATCAACTATTCAAATTAAAAATAGGATGCTTTAGTACGTGACCTGATAGCTGAAAGTCCAAAGTCTTGTATAGTGAACTTCGGCTCCATTGAAAAATGTATGAAAAACGTAGTTTCATTGAATTAAGCATCAAAAACCTCTAACGTGCAATCGTACATAACTGACATTCTTAATGCTTTTAAGAATAAAATTTTAACCGATCCTATTTATTTGTGTATTAATAAAGTTTAGTGTAACAAGTTAACGCAATACATTGTCAAATATATTATTACATAAAATATAAAAACAATGTCTCGGTATTTTGTTTACTTTCACAACAAGTATACATACATTACTGTAAACGGAACAATTGACAGTGGAATCGATTTTGGTCAACAAGTTGGACAAAAAAAATTGTAAAGTGTTTAACTTTTTGATATTTTCAGATTATAGAATTGAGTATTCTTATGTGATTTAATTTGTGCAAAGTTTCTAAAAAATATATAATTAATTACAAACTAATTTACGATCAATTATCAATCCCATAACTTCAAATACAGTCGGGAATGTATTTACAACATTCCAATCTTCAAGTAAATGCACTATCTTCATTTAAGCTGACGAATATCCACCACAGATTTTCATTATCATTATAAAGAAATAAGTTGTTCCAATCCTTTTATTATTATGAAAAACTAGGTTTAAGATTGATAATAATAATAATTTTAACAGAATAAAGTCGTTTATAAACCATAAGTATTGATAGGTTAAACCTACAAGGTATAAGATGTAAGTAATGATAATAAAATGAACCACTGATTAGGCATGATTGTTCTTTTACTAAGTATATGATAATGCAATTATAGACAGAGGAATTCGTTAAATTCAACAATGCTAAGTTAAACATCAAATCATGGAATACGTTAGAATAGAAGAATGAATAAAACAAGTGATGGATGATATAATAATCATAGAACAGAAGAAACTATACTGCGAAAAATGATTTGTAAAAATTTCTGTCATCAGCTACTATTGACAATCATGAAATTCATATCTTATAATTTACACTATGTACACGACCAAGCCACTAAGATATAACTTTGTATACTTTACAACATTTTGTATGTGTGAGATTTGATAAGTTCATAAAGTCTCTACTATTATTGATGACATACATGGAAGTTAAGTGACTTCTTCATCCATATTTTTACTTATAAGTTGAGGTTTGTTAATTCAGAGTCTCGATTAAGTATTATGAAGATAAATCGAAACAAGTAAAGTTTATATATAACTTCTCTATAAAGAAGATTTGTAGAACAGGTAGATGCTTTTGGTGTTGCTGGGCTCTTTGAACTAGATCACTTAATTCCCAATCTGGACAACATCGGTGTCGATTTCACGTACAAATGAGCCTCTAGTTATTTCACTTCTACGAAACAAGCGCTGATGATATTGTTCAGACTGACAAAAAGTGCTTCGCGATTAAAAAAAATCTAGTTTAAAGAAATAAACACCAAAAGAATACACAACTCCACTTGGTATCATGTCTATATATTAAGAGGTATTCATTTTAGGGTACACTTGAAAAAGTAATTTGATCATCACGTATCGAAATCAGTTGGAGTGTCGTGAATGAGAATTCAAGTGGGGAAAACCAATTTATTGTTTAATGAAAATCACACAGTGACACAGTAAAATATGAAAATCAAACATGAAATATACCACTTGCACATCTTTGAAATGCCTTTTGCAAACTGCGTCGTTCCTTCATTCCTATTGTCAGTTTGGCTGGTTTCAGTTTTCTTCTCCCTTCTCTTCATTTTTCTCTTTTGTTAGTAAGAACTCCACTTCTCATGACTGATACATACTACTTACATCTGTCCGTATACGTAGCACACACCGCAGGAGAACCAATAAAAACAAGGAACCATCGTTTATCGTAATTTGGATCCGATTAACCGTGTACACTCGTAACTTAAGACAGAACCAAAAATCTTCATGTCTTATATGACAAGCCATATATTCTCGGAATTGCTAGAAAACTAAGTGTGATGGTCCTAGTTAAATTTTTGATTTCCTGAACAGTACGAAATACGACAACTATTCATCACTTACAGAGAGGCCTATAATCATGGTTAGATAAAAATACGGTAGAAAACTGTTTAAAAGGTATTTACTAAAAGTCTATGAACTAATTGATTGAAATCTTATCTATACTAGGCCCTTTCACAACAATAAGTGGAATAAAGTCAATAACAGAAACAATACTAGCAAGAAAAACAGCAACATGAAAGACAGTAGAAGGTTGCTCTAATCCACTAGAAATTTGTTAGCGATAGTTTCTATTGTGTACTTTAGTTAGTGGTCATACTTCGTAATTTATCTGGTAGACATTAAGTAGATCATTAACTCAGATCCACTTAATACCCGAACTTCGCTTCAAGTGTATTTATCGTCATGTAAATAATGAATTTAGGCAGTGACATGATAATACTAATGAGAGGAAACGTTCAGTAGGCTGCTGAACAGGTAACACAAAATCTTGTTTTTCATTTATTAGTAAAATGGACAGAAAATTATATAGACTACAATTTAATCAACCACAAAAGAGACAGAAAATCAAACAACCAGATTACCGCTAATTGTAAATAGCTTAAACTTGAAAATTCTATCTATGGCATAACCAGTTAATGGACAAGATTAGGTAAATAATATGTTTTGTGGAAAATATTTGGTTATATTATTTTATGGTTATAGAAACGATTTCATATGATCAGCATATCATTGGATTATATCGTATAACTGACACGCATCAAAATTGCTTTCTGTTTAGTTGGTGTTATTCACACGTGTTTATCGCTAATAAACAATATGAGAAAAAGTATGTCAAACCTCAAGACGCTTCCTGTTAAACACAGATAATAATTGAAATAATGAAGTATATCAAACCATAATCTATAACTATTATGTATTGTATTGAGATTATTAAGGAGCAATACTTAAGCAATAACTATCTAATGAATCATTGTTTACATATTTTCTGTAAAAATAAATACCATCCATCTTAATACTAATTAACAGCTTATCATGTTCTTGAATGTTTAAGCATGAACAAAGATAGTAGTACAACTCGCTTACCGAGGAAAGGTTTTAAGCAAGTTTTCTTAAGAGTAAATAATACAAAGCAACCACACAAACTGAGGTAGATGAAGTAGATTCGGAAACAGATATGTAATTCGTAAAATCTGAACTATCACGTAAATACTCTATAAGAAAACTTTAAGTGATTTAAAACTTTGACGAAGTTACTAGAACACATAAAACCGTTTTAATAAGAACCTATGATAATGATATTTCATCAACAGAATATTAATGCCATATGATGTAAACAATAGGCATTAGTGCAATCTTATTAGTAGTTTTTAATCCAATTAGAAAGCAAAGGATGAATAATTACTTTACGACACTAAGAAAATAGATAACGTATAGATACCGTAACTATAAAGATCCACTGCTCTATCATGCTTCAACTCAACTTTTAGCAGTAGAGATCTGATACAAGACACGATAGAGAGAAGAAATAAGACAAATAATTCCATATTACAAATGTACTTACTTCTACACCAATATGACTTAGACGATTGAGATAATAGCGTGTATTCTCACTCTGTAAGATATAAAATAGAATCAAACATAAAATGGATGCTCGAACAAATAGGTGAAAAGGTATTTGATATAGTAATAAATATAATAAAAAAAACATTACTGAAATAATAGTCGAATTGTAAGGACAAAGATGGATACATAGTAACTAACAAAATATGTACACCTGGGATGTATCCATATAGTCGTCTGAATTACATGTATGTGTACAAAATATGACAAAATACTTAATCAACCCTAGATATCAGGTTGGATACATTCACGCAATAGTTATGATTAGGTTTTATCTCGGAAATTAATCAACTAGCGTATATATATATATATATATATATATATATATATATATATATATATACGTTAACTCCGCCTGGAGTCCCTTTCCGGGGGCTACTGCCGGTCCCAAGCCCGGATAAAGGAGGAGGGTTGGGCATGGGGTTAGCGACCCCATCCCGTAGAAAACTAACTCGCTAAAAAAACGCTAACCAGAAAAAATTATTCAAACCATTTAAACTCTGCCCTGGGAATCAGGAGGTCTTCGTTTAGAAGAATTATGACGCCTCATGATGAAAGCCGAGTTTCTTCGGAAGTCACGAGGCCGATGCCCCTTCTGACAACCAGAGCAACCATTTACTTAGGTACATGGAATGCTCGCACAATGTGGGAGACTGGGAGAGTTTTCCAAATTGCTGCAGAAATGAGGAGATACAATTTAGAGGTGCTTGGGATCAGTGAAACACATTGGACACAAGTTGGACAACAACGACTAACTTCAGGGGAGCTGCTGTTATACTCCGGACATGAACAAGAAAATGCTCCACATACACAAGGAGTTGCATTGATGCTGTCCAAACAAGCACAAAATGCACTTATAGGATGGGAATCTCATGAACCAAGGATCATCAAAGCCACCTTCAAAACAAAGAAAACGGGCATTACAATGAACGTCATCCAATGCTACGCGCCTACCAACGAATACAATGAAGACGCTAAAGATCAATTCTACGATAGGCTTCAGTCAATCGTCGAGAAGTGCCCAACAAAGGACCTGACCATTCTGATGAGAGACCTAAATGCCGAGGTTGAAATTGACAACACTGGATATGAAGACATTATGGGACAACACGCACTGGAAGAAAGGAACGAAAATGGTAAGAGATTCGCAAACCTATGTGCCTTCAATAAACTGGTCATAGGCGGGACTATATTCCCACATAAACGCATACACAAAACCACATGGACTTCACCGGATCACACCACACAGAACCAAATCGACCATATCTGCATCAACAAAAAGTTCAGGAGGACGATGGAGGACGTGAGAACAAAGAGAGGAGCTGATATAGCATCAGATCATCACTTGCTGGTCGCCAAGATGAAATTGAAACTCAAGAGGCACTGGACAACGGGGCGGACAATATCACAAAAATTTAATACGGCTCTTCTTCGGGATGCTGACAAACTCAATAAATTCAAGATAACCCTCAGCAATAAGTTCCAAGCCTTTCATGATCTACTCAATGGAGAAGAAACTACTATGGAGAGCAACTGGAAAGAGATAAAAGAAGCAATCACTTCAACATGTCATGAGGTTCTGGGCCAAAAGAAGCACCATCACAAGGATTGGATCACAGTCGATACACTGGATAAGATTCAAGAAAGGAGGAACAAGAAAGCAGCAATCAATACCAGTCGAACAAGAGCAGAAAAAGTCAAGGCACAGGCTGAATACACAGAAGTAAACAAGCAAGTGAAAAGGAGCATCAGAACTGACAAACGTAAATATTTGGAAGATTTGGCATTGACGGCGGAAAAGGCTGTCAGAGAAGGAAACATGAGACAACTGTATGACACAACAAAGAAACTCTCCGGAAATCACCGTAAACCAGAACGACCAGTGAAAAACAAGGAAGGCAAGATAATCACCAACATTGAAGAACAACGAAACAGGTGGGTAGAACACTTCAAAGAACTCTTGAATCGACCAGCCCCACTGAACCCACTCAACATCGAAGCAGCACTCACGGACCTCCCAATTGATGTTGGCGCACCGACAATTGAAGAAATCAGCATGGCTATCAGACAAATCAAGAGTGGCAAAGCAGCAGGACTAGACAGCATTCCAGCAGAGGCACTGAAAGCAGACGTAGCGGCAACTGCAAGGATACTCCAAACTCTCTTCAGAAAGATCTGGGATGAGGAACAGGTACCAAAAGACTGGAAAGAAGGACTTCTAGTCAAAATACCAAAGAAAGGCGATCTCAGCAACTGTGACAACTACAGGGGAATCACTCTTCTTTCAATACCAGGAAAAGTCTTCAACAGGGTATTGTTAAACAGGATGAAGGACTCCGTAGACGCCCAACTTCGAGACCAACAGACAGGATTCCGTAAGGATAGATCGTGCACAGACCAAATCGCAACTCTACGGATAATTGTGGAACAATCAATTGAATGGAATTCATCACTCTATATCAACTTCATCGACTACGAAAAAGCATTTGATAGCGTGGACAGAACAACCCTATGGAAGCTTCTTCGACACTACGGCGTGCCTCAGAAGATAGTCATTATCATACGGAATTCCTACGATGGATTAAACTGCAAAATCGTGCATGGAGGACAGTTGACAAAGTCGTTCGAAGTAAAGACCGGTGTCAGGCAAGGTTGCTTACTCTCACCCTTTCTATTTCTCCTGGTGATCGACTGGATCATGAAAACATCAACATCTGAAGGGAAGCACGGGATACAGTGGATAGCTAGGATGCAGCTGGACGATCTAGACTTCGCAGATGATCTGGCTCTTCTATCGTACACACAACAACAAATGCAGGAGAAGACAACCAGTGTAGCTGCAGCCTCAGCAGCAATAGGTCTCAATATACACAAAGGGAAAAGCAAGATTCTCCGGTACAACACAGCATGCACCAATCCAATCACAATTGACGGAGAAGCTTTGGAAGATGTAAAAACCTTTACATATTTGGGCAGTATCATCGATGAACACGGTGGATCTGATGCAGATGTGAAGGCACGGATCGGCAAAGCAAGAGCAGCATATTTACAACTGAAGAACATCTGGAAGTCAAAAAATTTGACAACCAACACCAAAGTCAGAATTTTCAATACAAATGTCAAGACAGTTCTACTGTATGGGGCGGAAACCTGGAAAACTACGAAATCCATCGTCCAAAAGATACAGGTGTTTATTAACAGTTGTCTACGCAAAATACTTCAGATCCGCTGGCCGGACACTATAAGCAACAACCTACTGTGGGAGAGAACAAATCAGATCCCAGTGGAGGAAGAAATCAAGAAGAAGCGCTGGAAGTGTATAGGACATACATTGAGGAAAACACCCAACTGCGTCACAAGACAAGCCCTCATATGGAATCCTCAAGGTCGAAGGAGGAGAGGAAGACCAAAGAATACATTACGCCGGGAAATGGAGATAGATATGAGAAAAATGAACAAGAATTGGATGGAACTAGAAAAGAAGGCCCAGGACAGAGTGGGTTGGAGAATGCTGGTCGGCGGCCTATGCTCCATTGGGAGTAACAGGCGTAAGTAAGTAAGTAAGTAATATATACGTTGGGAAAATTACAGTTGAATTCACCACTCAATTTAAGTTGAACCACCATTGAAAACCTGAAAGCACTGGATAGCCGTTTCGTCCCAGTACGAGACTCCTCAGCAGCACTCAGAACTCGAACCGAAGACCCTTGACCTCGTGTGCAAATGCTTAACCTTTAGTCTACTGAGCCGGGATCCATCGGTGTTAACGTTTAGTTCCAATCGATCCGTGATCTTGCACAACCCTTCATCTATTGTCTGAGGTTGATAACTATCCCACCATTGGACTCCACTGGTCACGACATTTTATTAGAACCACAGGAGTTCCATCTTGAGGTTAGTCACTAATGAACACATGATTATTATCAGTATAAGGATTTTTGGAGATTGTAGTCCCGCACGCGGGACTAAAAGTCTCGCGCGCGAGACCGTGTATGCACACTGCTGAGGAGTCTTATACTAGAACGAAATAGCTGTCCAGTGCTTACAGGTTTTCAATAGTGGTCTAGCTTAGATCAACTCGTGAATTCACCTGTGAAAATACTACAATCTCCACAAATCCCCATACTGATAATAATTGGAATCATACAAATTAGCCCGTAAGAGATGTATGGTAACATTGAATGCATAACAATGATCCTCGAAATTGCCAGGACATTAGCATAAAAATTAAATAAAAAACGTGACCACCTGAAAAAACCATATTACCGCTTTGAAAGTTGTGAAACTGTATTATCAGTTACCACATGAGTATTACATTATTTAGTAGTTGAATTCATGATTCAATTCAAGCTAGGCCACCATAGAAAACCTGGAAACACTGGACGGCCATTTCATCCTAGTATGGGTCTCATCACCATTACGCACCCACGGTCCTGCCTCGCGAGATTCGAACCCAGGACCTATCGGTCTTGCGCGCGAATGCTTAACCTCTAGACCACTGAACCGGCATACAACGGTGTTAATGTCTAACTTCAACCAATCCACGAAATTGCGCCACCGTCCACCAATACATTATTTAGTTATTTACAGAAGGAAAGTAAATTCGATAGAATTAGAAAAAATGAGAAGTTGTATACTTGTTAGGTAGAGGTGGTTACAAAAAATCCAGGCCGCCGCCAAAAGTTAGTTTAGTTAGTTACGCCTGTTACTCCTCGTGAAGGAGCATAGGCCGCTCACCAGCATTCTCCATCCAACCCTGTCCTGGGCAAACCTTTCAAGCTCTTTCCAGTTCTTATTCATCTTTTTCATATCTGATTCTATTTCCCGACGTAATGTGTTCTTTGGCCTTCCTCTTTTCCGCTTCCCTTCAGCATTCCAAGTTAGCGCTTGTCTCGTAATGCAGTTTGATGATTTCCTCAATGTATGTCCTATCCATTTCCAACGTCTTTTCCTAATTTCCTCTTCAGCTGGAAGCTGTTTGGTTCTCTCCCA